GCCCCACTGATGGAAGCCAGAACACAGCGCTCGCTGGCATCCTCCTTTGGGCCTCCCCATCACTGTCCCCACCAGCTGACTTCCAACTACCAAAGGCTGGGGAGTCACCAAGCCCTGTTCCAGAGCCCCCAACTGAAGATGGTTGTGGATTGGTTTTAAAATTCTGCAGCTCTCTTCCCTCAGCAAGGGAACTCCACGGTGTGTCTCCCAGGTCTGCCCTGTGAGGCTGAACCCCAGCTGCCCGGACAACAAACCCTCAGCCACCTCCCTGCCCTCCCCAACAAGCATTTCCTGGAATCACCTCCCACACCAATAGTTGCCAGCCAAGTCCTCGCCCCAGGGTGCATTTCTGGAGCATCCGATTCAGGCAGGCCCTTGTCTTCGTCCATCCTCTGTGGCTATGACCGAGCAGCGCAGAGTGGGTGACTTGTGGAGAAGAAAGGTTTGTTTGGCTTGAGTTTCTGAAGACTGGAAAGTTCAGCACCAGGAGACGCAACCTGGAGGTCGCTTTCTGCTGGCAAGTACCCTCTGCAGAGTGCGAGGCGGCTCAGGCCAGCCCAGGGTGAAGCAGAGCATGCGAGCGAGAGCGAGCTCCCGTTTGCAGCAACCTCACGGCCTCGGTAATTCAGCAGTGGACTCATCCACGCATGCGCGCAGAGCACTCGCCGGCCAACCACCTCCTGAAGGTCGTATCTGGCCCCACCTCTTACTACCCCACCGTGGGCGACTGTGGCTTGAATTTGTGGGGGACACGCAAGCCATGGAAGCCCTTCTCAGGCCTTCCCTGGTCACCCCCAGCTCCCCTCAGCCACAATACATTCCTTTCCGCAAGGACTTTGCTGGACCACTTGTTTATTGTTTGTCTCTCTACCCCCTACTCTCATCTCCCACCTGGAGACATAAGCTCCAGGGGCCAGCTTGCTCACCGACACCTCGCACCAGAAGCACTATATGGAGTGTTGAATAATGTGTGTGACAAGGGAGAAGCCAATCCAAACATGGCACTGGGTTTAACCAATCAGCACCGATATAACTGAGGAAGACTAGCCCAATGCCAGCCCTTCCAAGAGTAATTCATGCCAAGGACATGATAGACACTCAATAAATACTTATTAGATGAATGGATGAACTGAGCAGTCAATGAGCAAATGAAACCGGGCAGTTCACGGACAAAAAAACCCAAACTGACTCTAACTTTATTTTTTAAGATTTTTTTTTCATTTATTTGACAGATAGAGTTAGACAGTGAGAGAAACAGAGAGAAAGGTCTTCCTTCCGTTGGTTCACCCCCCAAATGGCTGCTACAGCCAGAGCTATACTAATCTGAAGCCAGGAGCCAGGTGCTTCTTCCTGGTCTCCCATGCGGGTGCAGGGCCCAAGCACTTGGGCCATCCTCCACTGCCTTCCCGGACCACAGCAGAGAGCTGGACTGGAAGAGGAGCAATCGGGACTAGAACCCGGCGCCCATATCAGATGCCGACACCGCAGGTGGAGGATTAACCAAGTGAGCCACAGCACCAGCCCCCCAAACTGACTCTAACTTAAAACCTCCAGTGGGGCCGGCGCTATGGCATAGCAGGTGGGGCTGCTGCCTGCAGTGCCTGCATCCCATATGGGCACCGGTTCGAACCCGGCTGCTCCACTTCCGATCCAGCTCTCTGCTATGGCCTGGGAAAGCAGTAGAAGATGCCCCAAGTGCTTGGGCCCCTGCACCCGTGTGGGAGACCTGGAAGAATCTCCTGGCTCCTGGCTTCGGATTGGCACAGGTCCATCTGTTGTGGCCACTTGGGGAGTGAACCAGTGGATGGAAGACCTCTCTCTCTCTCTCTCTCTCTCTCTCTCTGTGTGTGTGTGTGTGTAACTCTTACTTTCAAATAAATAAATAAATCCTCTAGAATGAAAACATCGCCCTTGCTGCCTCTCCTGAATCTCGTGCCCGACCACGTGTGCTCACCCATGCATAGGAACTGAGACAGCCCCGCTTCTCTCTTTCTGGTTTGGGGAGTGGAAGACTCTGTAGTGCAAGACTACAGAGGCCTAACGTTCCAGAGTCTCAGCTGGACTCCACACGGGCCAGGACTCCGCAGAGAGGCCTGCACAGGGACCACGAGCCGCTTGCTCCATCCCTTCCAGAGCACAGCACACACCTAATCCTGTCCAGAGAGGACCCAAGCACCCTCAACCGACACTTCTGTCCTTTGGTTGATAACCCAGCCCAGCAGGCCTGGCAGGTGCCGAGGGAGCCTTGTAATCAGTCATCCATTACGATGGGGAGATTAATTATCAATCGAAAAACTGTTAGAAGCTAGAAACGCTTACTAACTTGATTTGATCATGATCTGGTATACATGTATCAAATTATCACACCGCACCCCACAAATATGTACAATTAAAATAGTATAAAAGGGGCCAGCACTGTGGTGTAGTGGGTTAAGCCACCACCTGGGACGCCATCATCTCCTATGGGCACCCATGCATGTTCTGGCTGTTCCACTTATGTTTTTTAAAGGTTTTATTTATTTGACAGTAAGAGTTAAAGAGAGGGAGAGACAAAGATTGTCCATCCACTGGTTCAGTCCTCAAATGGCTGCAATGGCCAGAGTGGAGCCAATCTGAAGCCAGGGGCCAAGAGCTTCTTCTGGGTCTCCCACAAGAGTAGCAGGGACCCAAGCACTTGGGCCATCCTCTGCTGCTCTTCCCAAGACCTTAGCAGGAAGCTGCATTGGAAGGGGAGCAGCTGGGACTAGAACCGGTGCCCTAATGGGATGCCGCTGTTATGGGTGGAGACGTAGCCTGCTGCTCCACTTCTGATCCAGCTCCCTATGAATATACCTGGGAAAGCAGCAGAAGATCCCCCAAGGGCTTGGGCCCCTGCTGCCCACGTGGGAGACCCAGAGGAAGCTCCTGGCTCCTGGCTTCAGCATGGCTCAGCCCTGAATGCTGTGGCTATTTGGGAGGCGAACCAGCAGATGGAAGCACTCTCTCTCTCTCTCTCTGCTTCTATGTGTAACTCTGCCTTTCAAAGAAAGAAAGAAAGAAACCTTTTTAAAAATAGTAATTAAAGAAAAACAAGGTAGATTATCCTGGACTCTCTAGGGCGGGCCCAGGAGTCTGTTAAAGTAGAGGCAGAAGACGAAAGCAGACAAGTCCATAGCCCTGAGAAGGACTCGACTCACCATTGCTGGCTTTGCCACTGGAGGAGCCCTGTGACCAGGAACGTGGGCAGCCTCAAGGGGCTGGGAGAGCTTCCTGGTGACAGCCAGCAAGGAAGCAGGGACCCCAGTGCCACACCTGCCCGGAGCTGATTCAGCACAGTCTGGATGAGCTCAGCCCAGACTTTCCCGCCAGCCCCCGGTTAGAGCCCAGCCTGGCCAACACCTTGACGCCAGCCTCGGCAGGCGAAGCTCTAGCTAAACCCACCGGAATCTCTGACTTGTGGAATCTTCCAGATAACACGGGGGTGTTGCTTTATTTTTCCAATGATCGACTGATTGATTGGGAAGTCAGGGTTGCAGCGATCGGGTGTTGCTTTCAGCTGCTGAATTTGTGACGACTCCTGTGACACAGTAGTAGGAAGCTGATACGGACAGCTCAGTTCAGGGGAATACTGAGGACCACTGACTGCAGGGAGCTGTGGTTGTGAAGACAAATCCCAACAGGGACCCAGCAAGCAGGGCCCAGCTTGAGGAAGTGACCATGAGAGCTCCATGCTAAGCAGCTACTGGACGCAGCCTGGGATCGGGGACACGCTGCTGAGAGTGAGGCCTGGGCCTCTCTGGAGAGCTAACTCCTCTGTCCACCCTCCAGGCCACTGCCTGGCAGACACACAGACTCACTGTGGCCAAATCATCCGATTCATCAACAGGATCCACCACCTGCAGTGCCGGCATCCTATATGGGCGTCAGTTTGAGTCCCAGCTGCTCCACTTCCAGCCCCATGCTATGGCCTGGAAAAGCAGTACAAGATGGTCCAAGTCCTTGGGCCCCTGCACCCACGTGGGAGACCCGGAGGAAGCTCCTGGCTCCTGCCTTCAAATTGGCACAGCTCTGTCCCTTGCGGCCATCTGGAGAGTGAACCAGCAGATGGAAGACCTCTCCTCACCCCCACCCTGCCTCTCTTTCTCTCTGTGTGTAACTCTGACTTTCAAGTAAATAAATAAATCTTAAAATAATCAAATAAATAAAATGTTCAAATTCAATTTTTAAAAACCCTGTGCTGGCCAAGCCTGTGGAGAACCAAGAGAACAGAGATGCACATTCTGAGCCGGCTGTGACCTGTATGGCAGCAACTGTGTGTGCGGCCAGCCCAAGATAAAGGCACGCGCAGGCCACGCGTGGAGCAGTGACACACACTCGCCCAAGACAAGCTCACATCAGCGCAGCCAGTTCCCCCAGATGACACGTGTGGAAGGCTTCCAGGGCAATCTCCTAGAACAATCTCTGGTTTTGTAAAACACTCAGCGCACAAGCTCCCCACAGCCACCGGCACCTTAGCAATGGCTCTGGCTCCAGGAGATCCCGCACAGCGTGGCAGTGTCGCGCTGGTCTGGAATAGAAGAGTCGGAGTCACCACTGACAGCTGGCTGTGAAGTGAAGTGGAGCAACCATTCTCCACCAGTGTCTCCTGGAAACGTGTAGAGAAAGAGTTCTCCCCTGCCCGGCCCCCCTTCCCGGAGCAGAAACCCTAAAGACTTGACCCAATATTCAAGGTCACCCTAACGTGTACTTCGGTTTCGTTGGCATAGAAGATCTTCCAAGGCTGTCGACATTCCCAGAGTTGACTGGTCAGAAGCAATAATGCACCAAGACCATCACCCTTCTGTTGCCTGGGCTTCAACCACAGGGAGGCCCCTCTGAGAACCCTGAGAACCGCGTGACCACGTGCAACACGGACCCGTACCGTGACGCTGATCATTGCTTTCCCCAAAGCACCCAACTGTCTGGGGGCAAAAAAAAAAAAAAAAGATAAAGCAATCCCCAGCAACTCAACCACTGCAGCATTTAAATTTCACAAGCATGATCAGCCATGTCTCCACCGCGTCGTTCGCTCTGGCATATCGCAGCATACATGGAGCTAAGAAAAGAAAAAGACAAAGGGCGTAGAGGTGATCCACTCCAAATGCTTTACTGCTCCAGAACCCTCACTGAGAAGTACACAGCAGCAGAAAAAGTCATCAGACTTGAATAGGAAGAATTTGAGTAAAAATATGGAATACTTTGTACTTTAATCTTCAATTTAAGCATGATTTTTTTTTCCGCTCGGCATTATCACCGGAGAGGCTTGGTCGTTTCCTTGGTGGTTTGGTTTGTTTCATTTTATTTGCAGGCTTAAAATTTAGCCCAGTCTTTGAAAACTCTCTCCAGCTTCTGGCCAAGCAGAACTTTGCCGCTCACTTTGAACTTGCCAGCCAGGAAAGCCTTCTGCGGGTTCATTTTGCCCAAAACTAACTCCATAAAGACAGGCTCTGGGATTGTGAAGACCGTGTCTACGGGAAGCCTGGCAGGCCCGGGATACATGTCCCCAGGCCCGTTCTTCAGGTCAATGGTCCACTGCAGAACCGTCTTCCCGTGTTTGGTGATGTCCAGCTGAAAGATGGCATTGACCTTCTTCACCAGCTGGGCCCCCACTTCCTTGATGTGACGGCTAATGTCCTCGCACACCGAGAAGCTCTGGAATTCTGACAGCTCTGGAGGGTGCGCCGTGGCAGGCTTGCGAGCTGAACCCACAGCCTTGACCCGGCCTGCCTGCGCTCCATCCCCTGCTTTGATCTTGGGTTGATGGTCAATTCTCTTCCACATCTTACTGTGCTGGTCCTCTTGACCTTGCCGTCTGGCTTGGGAGCAGCTGTGGCCAGATTGACACCCACAAGTGAGATTGTGACATCAAAGGCAAGGCCCGAGCAGGGGCTGAGCTTGGTTTGTGTGCTGCAGTTTTATTGGCCCAACAGGAATGTGACATGGAGTGAGGTAGTGAGGGCAATGTGAAGCAAACACACACACACACACACACACACACAGAGCAATCAGAGGTGTTAGTCCCAAGAACCCAAAGGGCCTGGACCCACAAAGTAGACGAGGGAAACAAGGCCCAGACGTTCGTGGGTGGCATCGATTCTTTCCAGTGCAAGTTTGTCCTAGACAGCAGCCCTAACTGACAGCAGTTCCGATTCCTTTGAATGTGGATGATCCTCAAGATGGAGATTCCGGTGCTGGATTTGGCTTTATCAGGCTGCTGTTGGAGAAGGAAATGCTTTTAGGCTAAAGCAGCTGATTGGAGGAGGAGTCAACACCAGGGCCTGCATCAGAAACCTTCCAGAAGTGTGTGTGTGTGTGTGTGTGTGTATAGAAGTGTGTGTGTGTGTGTATGTGTGTATATATATATATATATATAGAGAGAGAGAGAGAGAGAGAGAGAGAGAAAGTAAATGTCCCTGGGGTCACCCGAAGGCCTCAGCTGACAATTGCAGGTAAGAAAATAGCCTGGGGCCAGCACTGGGGTGTATCTGTAAAGCCACCCCAGCCCATTTATTTATTTATTTACTTGAGAGCCAGAGTTACAAACAGAAAGAGGGACAGACAGAGAGAGAGAGAGGCCTTTCATCTGCTGGTTCACTCCCCAAATGGCTGCAATGGCTGGAGCTGGGCTCATCCAAAGCCAGGAGCCAGGAGCTTCTTCCAGGTCTCCCACACGGGTGCAGGCTCCAAGCACTTAGGCCATCTTCCACTGCTTTCCCAGGCCATAGCAGAGAGCTGGATCAGAAGAGGAGCAGCCGGGACCTGAATCGGTACCCTTATGGGATGCTGGCATCACAGGCAGAGGCGTAACCTACTATGCCACAGTGCCAGCCCAGCCAATCTGCTCTTACACACACAGTTAGGTGGAGCTACATTGAGTGGAGTTCCTGGTAGCTTTGTTCCCTCTGAGAGGAATGCAGAAGAATGAAAAAGGCTCTGGTACATTTGCAAAGACGGCTGAGCCGGTGTTATCAACTTCCAGCACTAACACAAAGCCAAGTTTTTCCCATGAGGCCAGCACACGTGGACAGCATCCGCACAGTATTTAGCTTAGCAGCAAAGACACCCACATCCCACACTGGAGCACAATGGTCCATTTCCAGAGTCCTGACCCAAGCTTCCTGCCAATGCAAACCAGGAGGCAGAGTGATGGCTCAAATCATTGGATTCCTGCTCCCCATATGACACGCCTGGATTGCACGCCATATTTCCAGCCCTGACACAGCTCCGACCATTGTGAACAACAAGGAAGTGAACCAATGAATGGGAGTTTTGTTTGTCTCTGTCTCTAAAATAAAAAATAAAAACAACAAATCACCATCACACTGCCATCGCCTACAGCCCCTGTGCGCTTCTTCCCCCTCCAGTTGCCATTGAGACCTAAGAATCCATTCGTGGCATGTTTGGGGCTTTTGGTTTCTCAATTTTGCAAATGCATTCAAGGAATATGAGAGACTTAAAGACGTGATCCCACCCCCACCTCAAATTGCCAAGCCATTTTCTTAACCAGGATGCTTTTCGTTTCAAATAACAACCATTACCATCAAGACAAATAATGGCTTCACCCCATGGTTTCACTGGGGGTGCCCAGACCATCATCAGCAGGGAACAGGTGTGAAATGCAGGTTTTCAGGCCCCGCCCCAGATCTGCTGAGTCAGTAATCGTGGGGGTGGGACCACGCGGTTATCAGTCAAGGTTCCCCAGAGGAACAGAACCAGCAGGGTGTATCAGAGTTGAAGGCTGTGTGCAGTGAACACCCACACACGCACCAATATTCTAGGATTGACATTTTATTATAATTGCTCATATCCCTCCATCTCATTTCTTAGCCATTTCAAAGTAAAGTGTCTGCATTATAGCCCTTAGGCGCTCAAACATGCAAAGTATTTACTCAGATTCAGTATTTGTCTACACTCTTATAATTTAACTTTTTGTACAAAGAAATGCACAAATCTGGGGTCAGTATTGTGACACAGCAGGTTAAGCCGCAGCCTGCAACACCAGCATCTCTTATCGGAGTACTGGTTCGAGACCTGCCTATTCCACTTTCAATCCAGCTCCCTGCTAATGCACCCAGGAAGACAGAGGAAGTTGACCCAAATACTTGGGCCCCCGCTACCCATGTGGGAGACCAGGATGGAATTTCAGGCTCCTGGTTTCAGCTTAGCCCAACCCAGGCCATTGCAGCCATTTGGGGAGTGAACCAGCACATGGGGAATCTCTCTTTGTCTCTGTCTCTTCCCTCTCTCTCTGTCATTCTGCCTTCCAAATAAATATATAAATCTTTAACAACAAAAAAATGTAAAAATCTTAGGTGTATATTTGCCGAGATTTAACCAGTACATACACCTGAATCAAACAAACTTGAATGATGAGAAGCTGCACACCGTGTGGCCCTATAGCCCCCATAGCTGCTGGCTCCTGGCTTCAGATCGGCGCAGCTCCAGCCGTTGCAGCCAACTGGGGAGTGAACCAGCGGATGGAAGACCTCTCTCTCCCTCTGCCTCTCCTCTCTCTGTAACTCTGACTTTCAAGTAAAATAAATAAATCTTTTTAAAAATTGCTATAAACATTCATGTGCAAAATTTTGTGTGGAAATAAGCATATGCTCATCTATAGATTTTTTTAAAAAATATGGAAGTATGTAACAGCGGAGCCAATCATTATTATTAACACTGCACATTACTACTAATATCATTATTATTAACATTTACTGCACAGAAACAACCTTACAAGCACTGTCAGAAATCCTTTTAATCCTCAGAATATTCTGCATTAGAACCAACAGACTTCCCATTTTACTAATGAGGAAAGTGAGAGGTTGGGTAACTTGTCCAAAGACACAGAGCTACTGACTTGGGGCCTCAGAGTTTATGGGTTTGGACGTTTTGAAGGCATGACTTCCTTTCAGAATGTTTGTTGTTGGTCTATCCTCATACGTTAGGACGTAAAATCTTTCTTAACTAAAACTCCATTCTATATCTTTGTTGCTTGGTTTTCTACCATTAATGGAATCCTAATATGGGTGGCCAATAACCACATGTAAAGGTGTTCAACATCATTAATTGGTAAGGAATCGCAAACTCAAACTACAATGAGAGGGGCCCAACTGTGGTGTAGCGGGTAAAGCTGCTGCCTATAATGCCGGTATCCCACATGGGCACCAGTTCGAGTTCCGGCTGCTCCACTCCCAATCCAGCTCTCTGCTATGGCCTGGGAGGGCAGTGGAAGATGGCCCAAGTCCTTGGACCCCTGTACCTGCGTGAGAATTCTCAGAGGAAGCTCCTGGCTCCTGGCTTCAGATGGGCACAGCTCTGGCCATTGTGGCCATCTGGGGAGTGAACCAGCAGATGAAAGACCTCTCTCTCTCTCTCTCTCTCTCTCTCTCTGTCTCTCTGCTCTGCCTCTCTGTAACTACATTTCAAATCAAATAAATAAAACTGAAAAAAAAAATCTACGATGAGATACCTCTTCACATCCATTAGCACGGCTAGAATTGGAAAGACTGGCAATGCTGAGCTCTAGCAAGGATGTGGAGCAACCAGACTCTTGCATACTGCCAGTGAGTGGCGCGCAGTGCAACCCATGAGTCCCTTGTCTTGGCATTAGTGAAAGAGAAATTAGAACATGCTGCATCTACAGAAAGGCAGGCAACAGATGTTTCCTGCAGCGCTGCCCATTGTCCACCGACAGGAGACCGGGTGCACACATAATGTAATCCCAGGATGGAACACTAGGGTAATAAAAAGGAACCACCTACGGATTCACCCCGTGACACAGATGAGGCTCAGATGCATTATAATAACTGAGTGAGAGACGTGACCGAAAGCCAGCCAGTGGGTGCAGGACCGGCCTGCAGAATGGCTTTACTGATTAGGGGCAAAGAAGAGTTTTGCAGGGATTTTTTTGAGTGAGGGGTGATTGTTCTTCTCTGTCTTCATTGCAGGGGTGACTTTACAACTGTATAGGTTCGTCACCACTCAGAGCTGTGCAGTAGGGAAGGTAAAGTTAACTTTATACATGATACCTCAACAAACCTGACTTTAAAAACAAAAATGTGTGCTGCAACTGGTACAGGCTCTCTCTAAAGTAGAGATCGCACTGGAATTTTTTTAAGAATTCTTCTATCAATGCTAATTGCTACCACTGCAATGCGATGCATAATTTAACTTTTTGGCGACTTCTTACCTGATAATTCTCATTACATTCAATATGCAGAGAAACAAATGGTCTCAAAACTTCAGCAGCCGGCACCGCGGCTCACTTGGCTAATCCTCCACCTGCAGCGCCAGCACCCCGGGTTCTAGTCCCGGTCAGGGTGCTGGATTCTGTCCCGGTTGCTCCTCTTCCAATCCAGCTCTCTGCTGTGGCCCAGGAGTGCAGTGGAGGACGGCCCAAGTGCTTGGGCCCTGCACCCCATGGGAGACCAGGAGGAAGCACCTGGCTCCTGGCTTTGGATCAGTGCAACGTGCTGGCTGTAGCAGCCATTTGGGGGGTGAACCAAAGGAAAGGAAGACCTTTCTCTCTGTCTCTCTCTCTCTCACTGTCTAACTCTGTCAAAAAAAAAAAAAAAAAAAAAAAACAAAACACTTCAGCAGCATGTAACATGAAATGTCTATTTCCCATGGTGGGCTATCAGATGGCAGGGGTCAGCTGGCCTGGACAGCTCTCCCAGGACATTCGTGTCTCTCATCCACCCTCTGGGGCCAGCCAGGCAGCCAGTGGAATCAGGAGCCAAAAGAGCAGCAGCAGAAACACCCACAGCCTCTCAGGGCCTGGGGGTGGCACTGGCTCACTGCCATTCCTGCCCACGAATTGGTGACAAAACTGACTTTTGGAGTC